AAATGGACACCATGGGCAACAGTGTGACCCCTGAAATGAGGAAACAAACATTAAATTACCTAACATCATCTTTTCGTAGTTCCCCTTCCAACCCCCAGCTACTTCCTTTTCCTTTTCTTTTCCCACAATCCAGTTTCATCCCAAACCACCCACACACCCATTTGCCCTTTGCACACTCACATGTGTGATTTATTTAGGATCAGGTTGGAAAACTGATGGATCAGATTCTTCTTGGTTTATTTGTGCACAAGCAGAAAGTGCCATCAGATGATGAATAGTGGCTGTAGGACTATTTTAGGCTCTGGATGGTGGGCATCAGTGCCCGTGGAAGTATTTTAGGCTTTGTGTGGTCACTGTTGGTGTCTATAGAGTATTTTAGGCTCTGGATGGTGTCTCTAGAGGTGTTTTAGGCTCCTGATGGTGACTGTCAGTGACTGTAAGGGTATTTTAAGCTCTGAATGATGGCTCTTAGAGCATTTCTGATTAGGAAAATCCACAGCTGATGTTTGAGTTACCCACAGCTCCAGTGTTGTGTGTATGTGTGGTCATGGCAGGACTGAATTTGGAGGGGGCAGGAGCAGATGCAGTGTCTCCGTTGCTGTCTCTGCCCAAACTTTGGTGCACATGAAGTTGGGGACGTGGATTGAGGAGCAAGCACTTGGCTGTGGCTGTAGGTGGATGTGAGTGAGTTACCCTCTGGCTCAAATCACCGGCTCCGAGGGAGCAGGATGGCTGGTGGTGCTTCCCAGGCTATGTGTTCCTCTAGCACACCTTTGAACATTGCAGACCTCTTAATCATCCCTATAAAACCATTTCCTCATTTTATAGGAAGTGTATATTTGGTGAAATAATCTCACCAAAGGAAATAACTTGTTTTTTGATGAATTATCTTAAATATCAAGTTCATAATTGAGCATAGTGCAAGTGTCAAAGTAGTCATGAGTTGCAACTGCTGTTGTGCTCTTATAAAATTTATCCTTCTGGATTACTTAGAGATGCATCTTAGAATTTTTCAATAATAACTCATAAAGGCCTTGTTTAAACCTCCAAACAGCAGTGATCCTACAGGAATGAAACAACAGTAACTTCTTCTGATAAAAAAAAGATACAATCTGGTTTTGTTCAGGATATTTGGCCATCTACAGTATGAATTTAGGAAACTAAATTCAAGTCATCAAGGTCTGCAGATTTTTCATTAGGTTAATATATATTTTTTCTATACACATCACTTCTGAAACTGCCTAGTAAAGATATTTTGACTCTGAAGATACACTCAAAATGGGAATAATTAGTGAGAGGGTGATGTTAAAGCATCGCAGTGCTGCAGGGCAGGGATTTGTCTGCACGTTAGTCACTAGCCCCAGTTCTGAGTTTTATAACCCAGCCTGTTCCCACACGTGTCTGTGGGACATGGACCCTTCACCTCTGAGTGATGTTCTTTCCCTCAGATTTCCCACCCTTTGTCCGTGACTAATACTGAAAAGTGAAAGAAGCTTTTTATTCCACTGCAAGCTTCCTGGGTTTAGGTCTGTTTTCTCCAAAGTGTGTTAACAACAGGAAAACAGCGTGTGGGTATAAAAATACACTTATTTAATGGTATTTTATTGTCTGGCTCGACGCTGGGTGATGTGTGTGTCTGCAGAGCTCCTGCCTGGCCTTTTGCTGTCCTTGGCAGCCCTCCCACGTTGGGTGTTTGTTGGGTGCTGTCACCCTGTGAGGTGTCACTGTGCCATCCCTTTGCGTCGGAGCCCCATGTCCCGGTGCTGTATCCTGTGTGAGGCAGCCCACAGCCAACATGAGCATGGGAATTGTATGCAGACATGCAAGAGAGAGGATGTTGGGTGGGAAAAAAAATCAAATCCAGCCCTTGGCAGTTGTTTGGAAGAGGGTCCAGAAGAGGTTTTCCAGGACCATGTGTTCCCGGCTGGCTGCCCATCTCTCCTGGGACAAGAGGTGCTGCAGGCCCAGTCTTGGTGCTGTGTGTGTAGTGTAGGGAATAGAAGGAACCTCTTTAAAATTCCACACCCTTCCACAGGGGGAGGTTGGTCCATCAACTGACTGTCTTATATGTGAGGCTTAATCTTCAGAAGCATCCTTGTGCTTTAAGCCTGTAAGCATGTAAGCATGTTATCAGAGCTGTTTTGGAAAGAATAGAATATTAACATCCCGAGAGCCAAGCTGGGCAGGAGCCCAAGGGGTTGTCAAGGGGGCAGATGTGACCTTTGGGGCACTGGACAAGCCTCACTCTTGGACTTCTTGGACCTCTTACACAGCAGCCCCTTCCTCAAACTTTGAAACTTTCTCTTATCCTGAAAAATCGCTCTCCAAAAGATTTGAGGCAGTATAGGAAAAGTATTTATTTTAAAAAGTAATGCTTTTCTTGGAAAACAAAAGGATATTACAGATTTGAGGCTTGTTTAAAACCCTGATGATGTAGAGTAGTGTTAATGGATTAACACAGATGATGGATTAAAGGTTTGTCCTCAATAAGATGGATATAGGATCACAGTATCTCCTTGTTTTATGGTTGCACTTGACCTCTGCATGAAACTTCCTTCTCGTTGTGTGCACACTTTGCAATTAATGGCATAAGCATGTTGTTTCCTTACCTGCCCTTTTCCCTTGTTTTAGGAGCAGTCTCTGGTGATTAACAATCTCTATTGTTTTATGGATCCAAACTGGAACAGCGAATGCACAGGGTGATGATCTCCCTGTATCTGAGGTGCTGTGCACCATGACTCGAGCAGGATGGTTTGGGCTGGAAGGGACCTTAAAGCTTGTCTCATTCCACCCCCTGCCATATGCAAGGGCATCTTCCACTAGACCAGCTTGCTCCAAGCCCCATCCTTCACTGTATATAGTGTTACCTGTATGTCTGGGGTGAGCCAGGGCACGAAGCCCGCTTGTGATCCCAAGGAAGGGCCATGTGTCTCCAAGCCTTTGAGTAGAGTCACCTCAGGCTTTGTCCCTGGTCCCTTCAACAGAGGCTGGAGAGAAAAACCTCCTTAGGGAAGGCTGACACCATGGCTGGGGCTGCTGGGCAGTACCATGGGCAGGGGAACCAACGAGTGGTTTCCTTCCCTCTTTTCACATATTTTATTTTCTTGATATAAACACTGTTCCTAGAGGAAAACTCACATGCTGACTGCAGCTGGTTTTGCTGCTGAATCATCCCCCGCTTGCCAGATGTGGCCTGATGGATTTTCTCCTGCAATTAATTGTCTCTAGTTGGTCTTGCATTGCATAGCCAAGTGCCCTGAGAGGGAGGGAGGGGAAAGGTGTTCCTTGGAAATATCCTAGGAATTAGCATTGAAGGGTCGGTCTCTGCCCAAACCCCTGGTTTTGAGCTATTCCATTAGATCTGTGCTTCCCAGAGCGTGTCCTGGGTGGCAGATCTGATCCAAGGTGTCCTGCTGCCCTCTGGCTGGTGCCCAGACAGGCAGGAGAGCACAGGAATAGCCTGCGTTTGAGTGACCTGCAAGGAAAGAATCTGTTTATGTGCCCAAATGGTGACATGCTGTGTGACACACAACCTTTTTGGGGTGTTTTTGGTTTGGGTGGTGGGGGTGTTGGGCTGGTTTTGGGGCACCACGGTGAGCTCTGCTGTGGTGAACAGCGCGTGCCCGGCTGCCGCTGGCACTGAACCTTTGAGGACACCACAGTCAACTCCTCAGCCTCATCCTTCTGCTGGAGTTCCTAGGGGAGATCCCAGCAGCAGGGACACCGCTGGGAGCACAGACCCTCCCATTTTCAGTGTTAGTGTCAGGGATTGGGATCCCGTGGAGGGAATGCCGAGCCTGCAGCCCGGCGCCTCTCCCGTCCCCGCTGCCGAGGCTGTGCGGCTGTTGCTGCCGGTGTGTTGCTGTCAACACGGCCTTTGGAAACCTTCCTTCCCCCCCCGGCTATTTTGAGAGGAAGCATGTGATGCAGGCAGCTCCCTGTGCCGGGCTCCCTATGGAAGGGGCTTCCAGCCCTGTTCCCAGCAGAGGAAGGGTGTGAGCGATGCAGCTCCAACAGCCTGCATCGGCTTTTTGTCCTGTCCTATGGATGGTGCAGCGGTCAGCTCCAGCTGGGATGCTGCTGGAGCTCTGGGGGGGGAATGTGTGTGTTCCTGTAGGGACTCTGAGTACTGAAGGATTATTTTAAGCCATTTTACTCTGTTGAGCTGGAGAAATACAACCTGTCTAAGGCTGATCTTCTTACAGCTGCTCTTGGCATTATGCTGGGCTTTTAAACCGCCCTCACACCATGATTAAAACCTTCTGCCTGTGTTTTTCCCCTTTTAGTTGTATCCACTGAAACATCACTTTCGTCTCAAGTAGCCAGGCTGTAGTAGTGATCAGGATGGGAGAAGGAGCACTGATATTTGAAGGCTGGAGAGGCTTGGGATGGAGTCCGGCGGTGGCTCTGCTGCGGGCAGTGCTGGATGCATTGCCTCATCCTGCTGCACTTCATGTCCTCTCTAAGTTAATGACATTTCTTTTCCTCTTGTACTCTTTGCCTGACTCATTTGCTCAGGCTGTAAGTACCTGAAGAGGGTGGCTGCTTGCTCAGTGTCTGAGCTGCACCTACCAGAGATTCCTGTAATGCCCGTAAGGGAATTGCCTGCTTTGCTCCAAGGTTATATCTCCTTAATGTGTGTCTTTTAGAAGAGGAGTCATAGAATCATGGAATAGTCTGGCTTGGATGGGATCTTTAAAGGTCATCTAGTCCAACCCCACCTTCATTTTGTTTAAAAAGCCCTGTAGTTCTGGTTTTACCTGGTCCATCCCATTTGCATTCTCTTGTTGTAAGTCCTGTCCTAGTTATTATTTTATGACAATTCCAGAGCTGCGGCCTTTGGGTGCAGAAAGTCATGGTGGTCTTTGGGGACCTCGTTGCTGGGGGAGGTGGAGGCAGGTCCTGGCAGCAGACACCATTGGGGTGACACCAGGCATGTCAGCAGGCCCTTCCCAGCTGGAGCCCAGGTCCTCATAATACTTTCCTCTTGTGTTTTCCAGGTGTACAACTCGAACAAGGACAACCAGAGCGAAGGCAGTAAGTATTTCTTCTCAAGCCTGACCCCTGAGAGGTGACTGAGCTATGTGGGGAGTCAGCAGGAGAAGCTGGTGACACTGGGCTGTACTGGGCTCCCCTGGGCCAGGGGGTGACAAGAATTGGCATGGGGACCACAGGGTGACCCAAGGAAAGCTGTGTCTGGCACCCAGCAGGGACCAGGGGCAGAAACCTGATGGTGGGACCTGGGGCCATGGGGAGCAATGTGAGGCAGTTCCCTCTGCCCCTTGGGATGTGTCCCCTCCTGCCCCAAACTGTGGTGTCTCAAGGACAGTGCAGGGGTGCTGGTGGCCTTGGGACCTGCTCCTGATGCTCAGCAGAGGGTTCAGGTGTCACCTGGGACCAACCAGCTTTCCTTTCTGAGCCAGAATGTACAGTGTGAATGTGCCTTTCCAGAGGGGAATTGGAGCACAAATACAGGAGTGAGGAGGTCCTGTCTCATCAGGATTGACAAGAGCCCTTAAAAATAAAAAAGCTGTTTTTATTGTAGTTCAGGCAATCAAAGCCTTGAGTCAAGAAAGCACTTGTTTTTCTTCTTAGAGGAACAGTCGCACCTGGTCCTGCCTCTTATGTCCTGTGTTTTAAAACCCTTAATTGAGCCATTTCCCAGTAGGTTTGATTTGCCATAATTGCAATACTCCAACCCTCAGTCCCTTCCCTCCTTCCCTCAAAACCGGTCACGTGGTGGCCTGGGCTGACGGTCAGTACATGGTTCATTTTTGTGCTGCCTCAGACACGGCATTTTCATCTTGAGCCGAAGCATTTTTCTCACAGTAATTGGTATAATTTGCAGCTAATGTTCCTCACACGCATTTCAGCCCTTGCACAAAGCAGTCTCTTCCCCCTCTCTGCCATGGTTTTTCGTTCCCTTTGGTCCTCCCTGGCATCAGCTGCACATCTATCCTTTCTTTCCTCTGTGTGTTCCACCTGGCTCTGTGCATCACAGGTCATCCTTGCAGAGCTCAGTGCTGTGCCTCACACTCAGGAAGGGCAGCATGGCCAATGCCCTGTGGGGTAGGAACTCTGCTAGAACAGCTCATCTTGTCTCAGTTTTCCAGAGGGGCAGAAGGGGTTTTTGAGACACAGAGACCAGGACTGGCTCAGCTGCATCCTACCTGGCCGTGAGCTGTCACCGCTCTGTGTTCCCTGCACACAGCCCCTGGCTCTGCCAGGACTGTACCTGGTGATTTGGCTTAAGAGACCATTTTGATGGTCTGTCTTAAAAGTGAGAAGGATCTTCCCTATCTGCTCCACAGACTGTCCTTCCTGGCTCTGGAAGAGGGTTGGAACCCTTGGCTGTGTACATAACAATGCTTCTGAACCCTCCAGTTGGGCTGGGCTGGTGTGGTCAGAGATCTGAACTGCCTCAGCCCTCATTAAATCCGTGTCTTGGATCTCTGCTTGCCTCACCAGCCACTCTAAAATTGATTCAGGGACTGGCTTTCTGCCAGCAGCCCTTGATACAGGAGCTTCCTATAAGGACTTGAAATGAGTGCAGTGATTGAGTGGGTCCGGATGCAATTCCTGACCCTGGAAACCTCTATACCTCTGCTTCCTGCTTGTACTTATGGGAGCGTGACAGCACCTCGCAGTGCTGTAGTGGCACTTTTTGGCCACTGTCTAAATTTACAGAGCTTTTGGGTTTACATCCTGCTGAGTGGCCAGATGGCCATCGGCCCACAGGTGATTTATCTTAATCTGCTTTGGGAGGGGGGAGAAAGCCATGCTGAAGGGGTGAGTGGGTGTCACTGAACTGCACGGGCCAGGAGGATTTAGATGCACTAGTTTGCAAACCAGAAGGACTTGCCCTGCTCTGTGGAAACAAATCCTCCAGGCCATTTGTGCTTATTGCATGGAACAGCACAGAAGAACTCCTTTCCCTTCTCTCCCCATTTCCCTCTCCTTTTTCCCCTTCCACTTGGTTCCCCATTAGTTGAGGACCCCATCAAAACTTGTCTTTATTTTCACAAGCTCTTCACATACCTTGAGACCCTTGGCTGCCCTGTCTGCTGTGCCCTTGTCTGTGTGGATCTGGCCACCCCAGCAGGCACAGTCACGGAATCTCAGAATGGTTTGGGTTGGAAGGGACATTTAAAGGTCATTTAGTCCAGCCCCCTGCCAAGGGCATGGGCACCTTCCACTAGAGCAGATTGCTCCAAGCTCTGTCCAACCTGGCCTTGAACACTTCCAGAGATGGTGCAGCCACAGCTTCTCTGGGCAACCTGTGCCAGGGCCTCACCACCCTCATTGTAAAAAACTTCTTCCTTTTATCTAACCTAAATTAACCCTCAATCTTCCTTTCCCAAACTTGGCAACTCACTGGTAGTTTGAGACTTGAAAACTCATTTCTGGTAAGACTTGAAAACTCGTTTCTCTCTGGTCTCTGCTTCTTGGTTTCTCCCCGCCTCTGTGGCTCTTATTTCCTTGAAGTCTTTGAAACAATTCAAGCCAGTGATCATTTCATGGCACAGAAATGTGTGGTGGGGAGGCAGAGGAGCTGCTTTGACCTTGCACTGCCACGACCGACACACAGCTGGAGCCAGCCAGGCTTCACAGAGCTGATTCAGTCCTGCCCCCTTCCTGATGCTCTGATATGCCACATCAGCGTAAAGTGAAGGAATTAATGGATTAAATAGAAATAATCTGCTAGGCAAAAATAGAATGGGATGAGACCAACTCACCAGCACTAGAGATGTGATGCTACTTGAAGGTCAGATGGGTGTGGGGGTGTGTCTGGGCAGCAGCTGCAATACAGGTGATGTGTATCACTCCTGCCAATGTAAAATGTTACTGTGATAGATTAATTACAGCCTGGCTAGTACATCTCCTTGGCACTGGAATGCTGCTGCTGTAGGAAGAGCCTGGAGCTGAGTCTCACATCCTTCCCTGTGGAAGGAGGGCCTCAAAGGGGGCTCTTTTACTTGCCCTTGGACAGGCAAACAGGGCCTGTTGGAAATTAGGGTTGTCCAGCCCTGGCTCAGGCTGCCCTGGGCAGTGATGGAGTCCCCATTCCTGGAGGGATTTAACAGATGTATGGATGTGGCCCTTGGGGACATGGGTTAGTGGTGGCCTTGGCAGTGCTGAGGCAACAGTTTGACTCTATGACCTTAGAGGGCTTTTCTAACCAAGATGATTCCATGATTCTGTGATGTGGACAGCAGTAGATCCAAATCTGCCTTTGATCTGGGCCGTTGCTGAACTGAATCATTGGGTAAATGACTGAGATAAAGAGCAGCTGCTCTGTGAGAGGGGAAATCAAGCTTTTACAATGCTCATTAAAAGTTAAATTTAAGGATGAATAAAGGCACTTTGGATATTTAATCAGATATTATTTCTGGATGTAACTACTGCAAATAAATCCCCGACCTTTCCTGATCCAGAGCTCAGCAATGAGTGGAAGAGCTTATTCGTCTGCTTAGGGGGATTATTCCAGGTCACTTCCATCCAGGGGGACTGCTGGGTTTCCTGCCCCTGCTATTGCTGCAGGGAGGTGGGATCCCAGCCCTGCTTGGCCATGGGGCAGTTGGCTCTGCAGGGTTATAGAATCATGGAATCAGAGAATGGTTTGGGTTGGGAGGGACCTTAAAGCTCATCTCATTCCGCTCCCTGCCATGGGCAGGGATACCTTCCACTAGACCAAGTTTCTCCAAGCTCTGTCCAACCTGGCCTTGGGGGTTGGAGGTGTCTTTTGCTCAAGTCCAAACATGTGAGGGACAAAAGGAAAATTGTTGTTTTATGAAATCATTGACACTTCCATAAACCAGGCACTTCAGAGAGCCTGAAACAGTGATCTGTGTTGGCTGGACAGCACCATGCAGGGACACCCAAAGGTCAGGGTCATATCAGTGCCAAGCCAAGGCTGATCAGACCTGCTGAACCAGGTTTGCTGGTACAAGAGTGTTTCCACACTGTGGTTTTGTGCTTCTCAGGTACCCTTGTACCTGAGTGATCTGAGTTATGGCAGCTGTGCCCTGCTGATGCAGAAGGCACGTTGGTTTTATGCTGCATCTGTGTTTGGGGAGTGGTGCTTGGAGCCCTCCACGTGCCCAGGAAAGGGCACTGCAGCTTCTGGATATCCACACGTCCTATGGCACAGGCATCCTGCAGCTTGTGTGCTTATGTTGGCTCGGCAGGAAAGCCTGCTTGCCCAGAAAAACACAATAGAGCTGTTTTACTTTGCACTGTTTTGGGTCCTTGTGCCATTCATCAGACAAAGAACACCCCCAGCAGAGAACTCAAAACAAGGGATTAGGAAGGGACTGCTCCATGCAACCGTGAGCTGGCAGCTGGTCATGGAGCAGCAGTGGATCCATGTGTGAATAACAGTGTGAGCAGGGGGAATGCAAAGGAGGGAAGTTGCACGTGCCTTTCTGTGAGGGCACTGCCAGCCCTGGGCACTGGTCCCTTTCTGCCCTGCTCTCCACAGAATGACTTGTGTCTCTCACAACAGGGCATTCTCTGGAGTCTGGAGCCCAGGGAAGCTTTGCACACTGTGGGTCTCCTTCCTATGGAAGGTTTCCCAAACCCTTCTGTAGGAAGGAAGTAATTTTCCATAACAAATAGCTGTGTGCAGCGTTTTCCAGGCAGTGGTGGAAAACTGTCTGTGGGATGAATTTTTCCAGCAGGTGTTTGGATCTGTGTACAATTAATTCCTTGAAATTAGAAGTGAAAACCTGCATTGGCACGAATGAGTTGAGTTGTACATCCCATTAACTCCAATGTTTTAGCTCTCAGTCTCAGGCAGAGTCAGCTGCCTTCGGGACACCCTAATTTGCTCCAAATAAATATTTCATTTGTGCTAATACAAGAACCTGAACCGTGCACATCTGTGCTGGGTGAGGCTGAGTGGGATGTGTGTGGTGGCTCACAGGACAATATTGTTCAGCTGGACTTTTGCCTTGCTGGGGGCAGGAGTGGTTAGGGACAGTGCTGATGGGCACCCCAGGGGCAGTTCTTCTCCCACTGGGCATAGGAGGTGCTTCAGACAGAGATTTGACCCAAAATTTATTCCCGTCTCCCAGTTCCTAATGCTCTTCCACTGTCATGTGCTGTCAGCTCTCTTCATGTGATGTTTTTACCTCTACGTTTTCTTAGAATCACAGAACTGTTTGGTTTGGATTGCTCTCCAACACATGTGTGGCTTGGTTAGCTGGATGCAGAGCAGAAAGGATGTATAGGAATTCCCTGGGACTCATCAAGAATGCTACCATTTTGGGGGATTTGTTGTGTCAAAAATATATGATTTCCTTTTTTCCAAGCAATCTGTTGTCAACTTTCCAGACAAGTTTGGGTTATCTCACCTTGATACTAAAATAATTTTTGACCATCCACAGAAGTAGATGCCTGGCTGAGCCCAGGGCTCTGCTTCTCAGTGGGTGTGGAGGGGCTGGTTCAGAGGGATGTGAAGTCTGGAATGACGGTCAGCGTCTGTGCTTGCCTGAGTTACACCTGGTACAAGCTGCTGTACTCAGGCTTTTCTGCCCTGAACACCTCATTTATCTCTTTCTCCTCCTCCCTGCCCCATCTGGGCAGTGGTGCAGCATTGCTGGGGATGGCAGGGATTCAGGAGCATTGTGCTCTGTCCCTCTGCCAGGTGTTCATCACTTCTCTCTTCTCTTCCCCTGCAGCTGCCCAGCTGGACAGTATCGGCTTCAGCATCATCAAGAAGTGCATCCATGCTGTGGAAACAAGAGGTAGGGCAGCTTTGGGGCAGCCCTGCAGCTGTTGGTAGTGGAGCAGTTGCTTTCCTGCTCTTTTCATGGACAAAAATGACTCATTAACCCTCAGATCCACATCAGATGAATGTGCTCGAGCCGATGCTGTTGCCGAGACATGTGTTGGCCCTGTGGTTGGACTCAGCAAACATTGGGGCAGAGTTGGGCAGTAACACACTGGGTGTGCAAAAGAGGGGATGGGACCAAAGCCAGGGGTTCATTTGAGCATCCTTGCTGCAGGAACACTGCAAAGCACGTCCTTTCACGTGGGATAACAAGAGGTGGGCATGGCAGTCCTTCCCCAAAGCCTCTTGTGAAGACTCCTTGTATACAGATAGGATTGTTGTGAGCCTCTTGGCCCTACATGAGGGAGTGAAGAAATGCAAAAGGCTCAGACCTCAACCTGAAGAATGTGGCACAGTAAAATTTTCCCAAACTTCCCTTGTTAAGTGCAGATCCTTCATGGGACAAACTGTTGCTCCCCTGATGGCTGTGGGGAGGAGGAAAGGTATCCTTAGATCCTTATTCCTGAGCTAATTGAATGTAACACTTTTATTACGTGAAATCCTTGATATCAAACCCAAATTTTACCCTCTTCTATGATTTTTTATGTAATTGATGAGAAGGTTTCAGTGGCTTTGCTATTCGAGAAGCCAAAGAAATGAGAGAAATATTAGCAGCTCTTGTGACCTTCTCCTAATAAGCTCCTTGTTTTTCCTAGGGATCAATGAGCAGGGTCTCTACCGGATTGTTGGAGTAAACTCCAGAGTTCAAAAGCTGCTCAGTATATTAATGGGTGAGTATCTGGTATTTTGTTAAAGGCAAGCTGACTGTGCGGCTTTGAAGTCTTGCCAGCTGGGAGCAGAGGCTGTTGGTGGAGTCCCTAATTGTGGTGAATGTGCCCTTAGGAGCATGTGCTGGTAGAGGCTGGGAGGTCCCTGGGCACCGTTGGCAGGTCAGAAGGTAGGACTCGTGTAGGACGTTGCTTTATGAGGTCTCTGGTGCAGTCACTGGTGTCCTGCTCATATGCACTCTTTAGTTCTGGCAGCCTTCCCAAATGCAAAGCAAAATCTTCAAAGAAATAGCTGAAAGCTTTGGGTTTTCATCTCCTACCTGCCCCCCTGTTCCCAGCACACTTTGAAATTATTTTCTCCTGCGTGTTGCATGCTGCCTGTGACTCTTCTTGCTTTCCCTACGGACCTTCTTGTGCCTGTTTATCACGGTCTTGCCCAGACCTTTTCAGCATGTGTTTCCCTTGTGCCTGAGGCATTGGACCTTGCAGTTTTGGATGCTCAGGAGAGAAAAGCTGCTGGATCACACTGTGACAGAGCTTGGTGATGACATTTTGGGGCTCCCAATGTGCAGCCCCCTGTGTCTGCCTAGCAGCCTCAGAGCCTCTCACCTCTCACAGGGTGTGATGACCAGAGAGAAGGAGGTGTTTGCTCCCAGTGCATTTGTGCTCTGAACCAGCATTCCTGTGGGCTGGATCTGAGCACTGGAATGTGTAGGAGCAAATAGGTCTGGTGTCAGAGAGCTGGTCTTTGTTCCTGACGCAGGTCTGGGGCACCATGGCTGACTTTTCCTGGACTGGTTCCTTTTTTGGAAGTATTGTGTTTCCATCACCCACCATGGTGCAGAGCCCTGTGTTGGGTCGCACTTTTTGGGATATACTGGAGAATTGTTATCCTGACTCCCAGCCCAGTTCTATGTCAGCTACAGCCTGGGGGTTATTCTTGACCCAGAGAGGAACTCAGCCCTCCCTCTCTCTGCTCTGTTTACTGCCCCTCCAGTAGCACCTTCCCTGCTCCCTGTGCCCTTCCTGTGGTCCAGGCTGGTGCTGAGATTGGCTCAGGCTGTGTGGGACAAAACCATTTCAGCCCCTGACCTTGCAGTTAGCATTTCCATCCCACAGCTGTAGCCCTAGGCAGTCTGTGTGTCTGTCCAGGCATGTCTTGGACACACAGTTGAAGAGAGAACACATCTGAGCTGGAGCAGGGCAGCTGCCTCTCAGCCAGTCCTGTCTGGTGCTGCTCAGACTTGGCAAAACCACCTATGAAATTGTTGTGGGAATGGGGAAACAAAAGCTTAATAATTTGTTAGCGCCCTATTAAATGTGTTTGTTACTCCTTGGGGGAAATAAGTGGCATTTCTGGTCTCTTTCGTCTTTCCCTTCACTTATTAGCATTCCTTTGCTACAAGACTTCATTTTCCTTGCCCTCACAAAACTCCAGTGCTCCTTTCTCTACACATTTCTCCTCACAGGAAGTTTTAATCTGTTATGTTTCACTTTAAACATCTTTTCCTTCTCCTTTTCCAATTCCCCCTTCTTTTTACACCATTGAGGTGTTCACTGATCCAAGCCCATAGTGGCTGTTACTGCTGTCAGCATGAACCTATGGAAAATTGGTAATCCAGGGGTGATTGGAGCAGAAGGACACAGCACTATATCCGGGCTCAGGGGACCTCTGCGTGCCAGCTTTGCTCTGGCATTTGGAAAGTTTGCTGCAGTCACAAGAGCTGGTGACTGATGCTTTTATTAGAGAAGTTTGGCACAGGCTGTGGGACACATGAAGGTGCCCTGTGGCCCCCCAGGTCCGATGGGGGAGCCAGCGCTCTCCCGTGGCACACGTTGGGCACGGTTGCTTTAGAGCATCAGATGAAGAGCATTGCTCTGGGGTGGGTGCTCAGGGGTGCAGCAGGCCCACAGGCAGGTCCTCTAGTGGTGCTTGTTGTGCTGCTGCACCTCGTCCCGTGGGCTGGCAGAGCGATGGACCCCGAACTCTCCTCTAAGGGAGAAGGGTTGGTCTTGGTGAGTCCTGGGGCTGTGACAGATGGCAAAACTCACTTGGGTGAAGAGCTCTCAGGAGCTGGGAGGGATCCAGTTTTGGACGCCATCCAGCATCCATTATCTCCTCGGCGACTGAAGCCACTCAGCTGTCGACCTCGTGTCTCATAACACGGTGATATATTGCTGGTGGTTTTCCTTTGTCCTGGTGTGTCCTCGTTACTTGTTGGTGCTGGAAGCCCTGTTACAGGCGAGTGGAGGCTGGAAGCAGGACCCTCTTTGGGGATCCCCCGTGCCGTCAATCGTTGGGATGCTTTGCAAACCCATGACTCCATATCTTTCCCCGAATTGTGGGTGATCAAATCTTCATCAGCCCCAGTGTTTGGGCTGTCTGTGAAGTCAGTGTCACGCAGAAACATGCCCCTTGTCAAACCCCATCTGTTCTTGCTGCCCTCAGGGCTCCAATATCCTGCTGGCAGCAGCACCGCTCTGCTCGGACACTCCCGTTTGGATCCAACCCTTGTGAACGGAGGAACCAAATTGTGCTTACAACATCAGGTTTCCCTTATATTTAGAAATGAATGTGGGCAGCGTTACTGCTTCACATACAGTTTAAATGGCAAAAAGATCAAGTTTCCCTGAGCTGGTGTCAGTGACACTGCTGGGAAGGGCTTTGGCATGAGGTGTCCCTGCAGGAGGTCGGTGCAGGGACTGTGGAGCACCAGCTCCCCATGGGCAGCAGCTGGATCAGGGACAGCCCCAACCTGTGGGTTTCAGGTTGGGGCAGCAGAGCTTGTCACTGTCTGATCCAGTGTGAAGCAGTGAGGGGGTGCTTCCAGGGGCAGGTCATCTCCCCAGCCTTCACCAGCACCAGGTGCCATCAAAATGAGGACAAAACCCAGCACCTAAGCAAACTTTTATCAGTGGGAGCTCTTGTAAAAGGATTTATTGTGGTAGTGTGTCAGAGGACAGTGGGGGCACCAGCAGGTCTGAATTCAGCACTGGCATGAGTTACAGCATCTGATCTGCTCTTGCTCCTATTCCCTGTGGGCCATAAGGGTGGGGAGTGGGTTCCTTCATGCCCCTCACTGCTGGGATGAAACGTCCCTGTGGCTGTTTTGGAAGTCTCTTGGTGAGAATTACAACTGGGTGATGAGGTAGTGCCCCAGGTGATTCCCCTCGCCCTGGAGAAATTCGTGAGAGATATCAGATCAGTGATTGGCAGCAAAAAGCAGCTCCAGGGTTAATGCTGACTTTGGGCTAGGGGTGCTTTTCCAACCCCTATCCCACATTGACCCCAGTTCCTGTGGAAGTGTGTCCTTGTGGGAGGCAGAGCTGCGGCTCTGGCTGCAGCATCGCTGCCTGGGGAGACAGATGCTGCAGCTGGAACCCACGGCGCTCACTTTTTGCAGACTCATAAATTTGAAGGTCAAGGGGAACTGATTAGCTGCTCTGAGCCTTTTCATGGGACCGACTGTGGAATTTCACCTCGTGTGCCATGATCCTGCCTAGAAACTGCTAGATGAAGTTTTGCAGAGACACACAGTCCAGACTTGTTTGTTCTACTTAGGTTAAAAAGTTTTGTTTAAAAAAAGGTGGAACTTTTGGGGGGTTTTGTTTTCTTGTGTTTTTTTTTTTTTTTTTACTTTGCCAAGCTTATTTTGACTCTATTAAAGTTTCCTCCTTATAAAGGCAGTGCAGTAGGAAGTTTCCTCAGCATTGACATGGGAGGATGGAGTTCATTTGCGTGATCATTGTGTGAGACACGCATGATCTTTGTGTGAATATACATTTCTCACATGTTTACTTTTCCAGGTGCACCTCTCGATATTGTTTTTGAATTAAAATAAACCCATTGCTCCAAGGGAAAGCCAAACTCTATTCAGGGCATTCTTTTAAGTAGGTTGAAAATTACCCAATGCTTACCTGGGGCTTTAAAATTCAAAAGTGCATTATTTGTGTCTGTGAAAAGGCAGAAATACCCCCTGAGCTGAGCCTGTAGGAGCAGATGGTGCGAGCAGCTGTGGCTGTGTCAGCCTTGGCCTTGGGCATGGTGGGAGCCCCCGCGCCTGCGCCGCTCCCCAGGGACGCTTGGCACTGATGGGATCCCGGGATCCCCGCAGAGGCTTTCCTGGGATTTTGTTGGGAGCAGGATCCTGACTGTGCTTCCAGCACTGAGTTAGCAAAGCGTGTTCGTGGAGGAGCATCCACGTGGGAGAGATCAGCACATGGGGCACATCCATGCCCTGCCTCTCCCTGGCCGTGCTCCTCACCCCGGCACGGAGCCATTGCCGTGTTGGGACTCAGTGCTGTGCCTGAGGTATCCATGGCCAGGCCACTTCCTGCTGGCCTGATGGTGGCTGTGCAGGAGATGGGCTGTGATTGCCTCGGTGGGGAGGCAGATGCAGGATGACGTTTGGCATCAGTGGGAAGAGGGTCCCTGTGTCCTGGGTCTGTGTCCTGTCTGTGCCTGGCCATCACCGCTGTCACTGAGCACCACAGGCTGCTGTGCCCTCTGTCCTGTCACCCTCAGAGCCAAACTGCCCATGTCCTCGCTTGGGATGGATGATTCCCTTTCCTTTCTCTCCTCCCATCCCAGTGAATGTGGCCCATCCCAGGTGATGGACCCCACTCCCCTGCCAACATGTCTGTGGGGATTGGCTGTGGTCCCTGGGCTGGGAATAGTGAATAAAATGGGACATGAGAGTCTCTCCACACAGCTGAGGTGGCACAAAATGGAATTGTTTCCACTTTGCTTCACTTTTGTCTTTTTTGTCTTTTTCCTTAGATCCCAAAACAGCCACAGAGACAGATACAGAGATCTGTGCAGAGTGGGAGATCAAGACCATTACTAGTGCACTGAAAACATACCTGAGGTAAGGAGAAAACCCTCACCTGGCTTCAGGAGGGGTTCAGTGGTGGTCTGGGACATTACTGCCCCTTATTGCAGACCTTTAGCAACAGCACTTTGATAGAAACAGCAGAAACTGCTCTTAGGTAATTTATTCTGGCTTTTCCCTGACCTTCCAGCATGTGTGAGTATAATCTGGGGAACACGCTCATTTCTGACAGATGCACATATCATGCCAACATGATTTTAAAAGCTCATTCTTGCATCTCCTGCTTTGATTTAAGCTTTTCTCTGAGCTTTTCCCAATGGACTTGCACCTTCTGAGCTCGTGGCAGGAGCTGTGTGAAGGGTAGCGGCTGTAGAGCTTTTCCAGACGCGGTGCTGAGCTTTAGTGTAGTTATAATTTCTGTGTGTAAGTCGATGCCTTTATCGTCCTGGGTATCTTCCCACCGGGCTCGGGTGTTGGCAGCCGGCAGCATCTCATTATCCACAACATGCTTCTACCTGTTGTGACCACAGCTCCTTGCTCCCTGTGGCTGTTGTGTGCGTTGGGTTGTGTTTGACAGAGTGAGGGAGCACAAGAGAGAAGCTAAATCCAATTAGGCTGGTGAGGGTAATTAGCATGGTGGGTCTCAGCCTAGAAAATCACAGAACACTACAGAATTTTGCATGATTGGCAACATTTGCTCCAGAGTTTGAACTGTTGGCAAAGCAGAGGAATGTGGGCAGCACCAGTGTGACCCTCTGAAGGGATGCAGCAGTGGGAGGGGACAAGGGGAATTGAATGGGAACAGGGATTGGGAAAGTTTTACAACTAGTCTTGTTTATCTTTTTAATTTATTTTTAAATTTACTTGAAAGTCAAGGGCTTGGTAATGCACTGAAACTCCATGTTACTGAAGGAATGCTAAAATTAAAGATTAATTTAGTGACGAATAAATCAAAGGTACTTGCATAGATCTTATTCTTTCTGATGAGGGGAATTAATTAGAGTTGCTGTTGCTTAATTCTGCACTTTTCAAAATGGAGCTGAATTTGTGGTAGAGGCAAAGCTTTCTGTGTGTGGACTGTGTTCCCCAGATGTGTTTTGTGCCTGTTTCCTTTTTATCTTCTAGAATGCTCCCAGGGCCCCTCATGATGTACCAGTTTCAAAGGAGCTTCATCAAAGCAGCGAGTGAGTTTGTTGATGTTTATGGCCCCGCTCCCAAAGTGGAGCCTCATTTGCAAGTTACTGAGATTCCCTCTGCCCTGCTGCCTCCCCACCGACCTCCCGGGCTCCCGTCCCAGAAAGTAGAATAAGAATGGAGAGCCACGGGGCAGGTTGTTGTTTGGGAGGTGACCAGATGAAGAGGAAGCACAGATGGTGCTGGGAGCACAGAGCTGGCGGTGGTTCCCGCTTGTTGTGACCATCAGCTGCCAAGGCGGGGGAGGTTGTTGTTCAAACAATGCCCACGGGTGTTCGATGGCACCAGTGGTGGTTCAGATGTCTGTGCTGTGTTCCTGTCACTTTCCTGGGAGAAGGGGCTTTGCTGGGAGCAGGTAGCTCTCTTTTGGCAGCTGTACAAGGAACCAGGGCCAGGAGGGCTCACATAGTCCATGGCCACAGTGTTGGTGGCCTCTCTCAGCAGCTCCCACTTAGTACCCGTGGATCCAACTGTGGATGCTCCCGCCTGACCTTTGCTGGGCACACTGAACATACAGAAGGGGAACGTGCTGATATTCCTGTTGCTGAAATCACTCTGGTTTACAGCCAACCCTGCCCTGCCCTGCTCACCACTGGCTGTTCACAGGCATCAGCTCTCAGCTCACAGTTTCAGCCCATTAAGTGTCTTCCTTTGGATTCAACTGCTTGGAGATGGTAGTAAGGAGCAGTGCCATGGATAGTATCCACAGCATGCCTGGGTGTGAGCAGGTCCTTGGGATGTCTTTTGGAGTTAGTGTTATGAGTCTTCCCATAACAAGCCCCTGATGCAGAGATAAATCATCTTCTATTTCCCATACAGAACTGGAGAATCAGGAGTCCAGAGTGTCAGAGATCCACAACCTCGTTCATCGGCTCCCGGAGAAAAACAGGCAGATGCTGCAGTTGCTCATGAACCACTTGGCAAAGTATGTTTATGACTGATGTGTTTTTCTCTCCTTTTTCCACTTCCTCTGAAAGTTAATAGTGGTGGAAAAGTTTCCTTGTGTGTGTGTGGTGTTGAGTCATATCTGGTTGGCGAGAAACTGGAAACCTGAGTCTGAGTGAACCAAGGGCTGAGCGACAGAGTGGAGTGGGAGGGAGGAATGAGAAGAGGAGGGATGAGGGAGGCAAGGATGAGGGAAAGGGGCTTCCCGACCAATCCCCAGCCCTGTGTTGGCACCAGGAACCCATAAGCTACTGGGAATCTCGTGTTGCTTTTAGTGACCTGGAGTGGGGTTTGGCTGCCCAGGAGGCAGAGCAGATGTGAAGCTCCTCTCGGGGTTTCCAGTCAAACCTGGCATTAAAGGACTAAAAGTGATTTCTTTGCCCAACAGACAACTGCTCTGGGGTGTATTTTCTGCCTTTATGCACCCCAATGAATCAGTATTTCTGGGTGACCTTGAAACTTTGCGAGGGCAAAGGAATGGAATAATTTTTTTTCTTTCAGTGATAGAGCTGACCTGTAATTTCCCATCTTCTTCCTGCTCCTGCAGGTTCCCATAGAAACCTTTGATTAGTGTTTTAAAAGTGAAAGCATCATCAGATGTTTGTGACAGCCTCAAGGCTGGGGGGTCAGACCTGCTCTTGCAGTTTGCACTGGTGCTGCAGGAGCAGCAGGGATGAGGCAGGACTGGGAAACCTGGGGAATGAGTTAATCGGGATGACTGCTTAGGAGAAGGTCTGGGAGAACCCAAGTTATCTGTTTAAGGGAAAAAAATAACAAACGGTACTTGAAATAGGCTTAAAACCAACTCCAGATGCTTTCTTGTGACATGGGTTTGTGTCTCCATGGACTCCCTGGCAAGGCTGTTTAAAAACCAAAGAGCTGGTTTAGGTGTTGGTTTCAAACCTTCTGTATTTACAGCCTGAAGCCAGAGCCAGGCTCTTTCGGGTGCTCCCCTTGGCCAGTTGAGATTGCCCAGAAAAGTTTTGGCTGCCCCATCCCTGAAAGAGGGGTGGAATGAGATGAGATTTAAGGTCCCTTCCAACCCAAACCATTCCAGGATGCTATGTGTGCGAAGAATCCAAAACTGTTTAAATGTTTTCCATTTAAAGGAAACCCTGGTGATGGAGTGAGACATGGAGGGGGAGGCAGGTGTACAGTGGGGTTTGTGCTGTTTTGGTGGGGAAGGAACTGAAACAAAACAAACAGCGAGTGTGGTGGTGTTGCTATTTTAGGAAAAGAAACAGCTCATAGTGTTATTTAATAGGAAAAAAAATTATCTCAGAGAAAGGCAGGAAGCTGAGGAGCAAGAGCCTGCTCTGCTGAGCTCTCCCAGCCCTGGTGCTACTCCTGGGGGATCCTGGGCTGTGGAGGGAGAGGCTCAGCCAACCCCAGGCATGGACTCACAGCATCCCTTTAGTGTCGATCCTGCAGCCCCTGCTCCAGGAGCATCACCCTGATCTGGGAGCAGCACCCTGCTTCAAGGAGTACCTGGGGAGCAGCTGGGGACAGGGCTTGTTGCCACAGCTCTTCTAAATGAGCTGTTTGAGGCTGCAGTGCCATAAAGCCATATTAAAGGCATAAGTGGAGATAAATCTGCACATCTGCAGCAGATGTTTGGAGGGAGGGACCGTGTTGCAGAAGGGATGGGGCCTGGCTGTCCCACAGGGATGCTCTGAGGGTGGGACCAGCCAGGGTCTGGGTGCTGCTGAGAGCAGGGCACCCACAGCTAACGTGGGCAAAGCCAGGGTCCACTGCCTGGTCCTGCCAAGCTGCTTGGAGGGGATTGTCTCATCTGTTTCTGTTTGGGTTTTTTATTTTAAGTAACATATGAATAATCAAGATTTGCGTGTTTATCAGATGAGCTAAAAAATATTTCTCACAGTCTTGCTGCGGAGATTTCTGATACTAAAAACAGAACTTGGGCTGTGTCAGTTGAATAGAAAAAGAGCCTGTTCTCGCTGGTCTATGGCTTCTGGGTTTTTGGGGTGTACGTGCACTGGTGCACTGCTGCACTGACGAGGGACGTGGGGCTCCTCATGTGATGGGGCTGCAGTTATTAACAGCAGTAAAACTGTGCTAAGAAAGCTGATACATTCAAAAATGGCAATTATTAACACCAGTATCAGACAGGATAAGTGCCTCTGAGGTAATTTAGCAGTACCCTTCCTCCTGCATAGCAGAGAAATGCAGTGGGTTCCCTGTGGCAGCTGGGTGCCCCCCAATATTGGAGTGCAGTGAGAGGGACTAGCAGAGGAAGGAGAGGACAGATCTCAGAAACAGGCACAGATAGGATGGAGAGAAAAGAGTATATCAATAGAAAGTGAACATGATTTCTGCCTCTTACTGCATTTCCAAGACTGTTTACACTATCTCATGTCTGTGTGTCCAGGCAGTTATCCATTAAGACACACAGAGCAGGAGTGATTCCTGTTCATGCTCTTTCATCAGGAATGTAATGCTGCAATTCCCTCCCCTGCTCTGCAGACCCTAGTTTCAGTGAAACTTGCTATTACAGTTTTATTCCTTGACCCATGAGTAGGTAAACCCTTTAATCTTCTTTGCTGGGACATGTTCACACTCTCAGGATCCCCATAATAAACCCAGCTGTGTTTTGCTGTTCCTGAGAGCAAGAAGATCTCTTTGTTCTGATATTTTTCTGAGGAGATCTCAGCAGGGAAACCTAAGCACCCACAACCCAGACCGTCCCCTGAGCCTGTGCCTGTATCCTGATGACAGTCAGTGAGACTGGATAACACTGGCGCAGGTTTCCCAGAGAAGCTGTGGCTGTCCCATCCCTGGAAGTGTTCAAGGCCAGGTTGGACGGGGCTTGGAGCAACCTGGTCTAGTGGAAGGTGTCCCTGCCCATGGCAGGGGGTGGAATGAGATGAGCTTTAAGGTCCCTTCCAACCCAAACCATTCTGGGATTCTATGATTAAACCAATTTTTTTTCTGTCCAGTAAGTCAAAGCTAAGCAAGGCTCCCCCAGTGGTGCTGGGCTGGCAGTGGCACTGCCAGAGTTGAGCTGGTTGCAGAAAATTGCCATTTTTGTTTGTGGAGCTGCAATATCATCCCTGTCTCTTTCTTCTTTTTTTGTGCAGAACAGGAGGATTTCACTCTGTTTATATTTCAAGCATTTCAGGAGTTATTTTTTGTGCGTGGCCATAATTTGACACCTGAGCTTTGCTTTGTTCTCGTGGCAGTGAGTCCAGCTCTCCAATGAAGGTGGTGCTGGGCTCGTGCATCCTCCGCAGGGCCCCCAGACCCTCCCGTGGGTCAGCATTCCCCCAGCATCGCTGCCACTGCCCCAAGTGTCCCCTGACCTGCACACCCACTCCTCTCCTGGCCAAGGTCAGGACCGTGGAGCAGGCTGCAGCCAAGCTGTGTGTATGTGTATTTAGCAGAATTAATTATCTCTAATCTCTCCCAGCTGCAACCTGGCCAACACCGACTGGTTCCCTATGGTTTTACTCCGGTGGTGTTTTCTAGTTTGCGTTTTTTAACCAAGAAGACAGTGATTGTTATCTCTAGCACAAATTGTTTGCCGCTGATCAGCACGATGGTTTCTGATGGTTTCCGTGGGCTCTGCAGGGCAGCTGCTGTTGGGGATCCAGCAAAACCCACGTTGGCGCGACAGGGCAGGGGCCGGGCACGGTGTGCGGTGTGTTCCGGAGGGCTCGCTGCTGTACGAGGGATTGTTGGCAAAGGAGAAGAAGAAAAAAATTCCTCCAGGTCTTCTGCCTAAAAATACAACCCGTGCTTGTTTTCCTCGGCGTGGAGCAGTCCTGGCCTTGGCAGCCCTGTGCCGCGCTCCCAGCCATACTGCCCTGCAGAGCCCCTGGGAACTGGTCCCCAGTGCTCACCACGGTGGGCTCTGTGCCCACGACTTCAGGAACCCACCGAGGCACCTGCATGGGACCAGGGGTGGCAGATCCCCCAGAAATGTGCTTTTCCTTGGTTTGTTTTCCTGGTTTCCCCCGAAGGTGCAGCCGGCAAGGAGGCTGACGCCTCTTGGCACAGCAGGTCTGATTTCATCCCCATGGCAGCTGTTTATGCTGCTGTCTGGTAACTATTCATTTGCTTGATTTATGTATTGCTTCCAGTAAGTCATTCTTGTCCCGGACATTCTGGAAATTTCCACTAGCCACTGAGGCCTCTGAGATGCTCCGCTCTCTTATACTCCTCACTTGATTTGGCTGCCAAAAGCAAACAGGGAGCATTCTCTGAGCTAGTGTACCCCAGGCCAGGCAGTGGTCCTCATTGCTGCCTTCGGGAATGCCATTTTTTTGCCCAGTGCCTGTTTTTGCTCCTTTTGGATCACAGCACTGCTGGCTCCTGGGCAAAGCCCTGGGAGTTCGGGTGACTCAGAGGATCTAGATATTCCCATAGGTAGCGAAAGTCACATGGAAGGTGACTCCCTGTAGGCACGTCCTGCCTTGCTGGAGATGGGAGAGTCCTGTCTGGAGCTCGACTGTCCTGGTTCAGGCTCATGTCAGTCTCCTGCCGTGCTTTCTTTGCCCGTTTTTCCTTTTTCCCTAGTTGGAAATAGGTGGGCTTTAAGGTCCCTTCCAACCCAACCCATTCTGTTGGTTCCATGATTGTATGATTTGTGCTTTGGAACCAGAGGTGTCACAGCAACACCTTTGGTTTCCCCTTTGCTCTCCTCTACCTCATGTGTTTTGGTGGAGGAGCCGGTGATGCTTCCACAGAGCCCAAACAGCACAGTGTACCCTGCAGCACTCTGTGCATGCCTTCCCCTTGCCTGCTCTGCCTTCCTTTTACTTCTCTGGTTTTGTTTTTGAGATTCTGCAGAACTAAAAAGAAAAACCACGACAAAAAGCCCTGTAGGTGTTCTCTGGGTTTTTGGGCTTGACTTCCTGTAATGTTTAAATTAGCTATCTGCTTCTGCAAATGAACTTTTAACCCCCTCAACCTGGATTGTCCATGGAGCAGCTGTGTGTGTGCTGGTAGCTTTTCCTTCCA